AAAGAGTGTTTCACTGTTGTGGTTCTGATCCCTTCCACATTGTAATCTGTATTGATAACCCTAATACTGATGAAACAAAATTAAAATTGTCTTCAATTTGTTTGCACAAAAATATTCTTACTCAAATTGAGCAGATGCTATACATTTATAAGTTCCTCAAGGACTAACTCTTAAGCAAGTTTGTAACCTCCAAGGGCCAGGCAAGTATCTTTACATGTTATTTGATGTTAAACAAATATTTTAAATAATAAGTTGCAATCTCAAAATAGTCACTAATTTACTAGTTTATCACTAATTCTTTATCTATACAGCTTTGAGTGCAGACTGTTTACTCCAAGTATTGAGATAATATCTCTCTATTTTACGAATTGAACTAACCAGTTCAGTGTTCTAGACAGTGTTTTGAAGTTACTAGGGTAGAGGGGAAAACAACAACCTGTAGTGATTAGCACATGTCTTTGCTTTCTAGTTAACTAGTTCTAGTTACTGGTTTCCATCATGATGCAGAGCGGACATTTTTTTCCTTTTTTGGAGAGGTTTTCGCTATAGGGCGTGTGCGCTCGCCAGACAGACAGAGAGAGACATAGAGACAGAAAGCAAGAAATCACTCCCCCAGGGGGGATGGTCACGCCACAGTCCCTTCTCCCCCATTCTCCTATCGGGATCTTGGGCACGCACGCACATGCGCCCGGCGTGAGTTTTAAGCCATCTGGTCCGGGACGTGAACTGCGATCAACTACGTGGGAGTCCAGCGACCTAGCCATTACGCTAACTACTGGTTCCCCCCAGAGCGGACATTTTAACCACAGACTCAGTCTTCGTCAATTGGGAAGAACGTTTTTCTTCACAAAGCCGGTTAGGAACACTGATGCAGTGTGCGTGACACCACAGGTCAGGCCCGGGCACCACAGTGCCCCTGGCCTACCCCGTTGCCATCGTCAGACCATGTCTGTCACATGGCTGCCCACTTCTGTACTCTCTGTGGGCTTCTGGGAGAATGTCTCATTACTTGTATGGGGATGAGATAATCATAGTTTCTCCTTACATTTTTTATGACCATGACCTGATTATAATTTTACTATATATAAATTTCAAGCTTTATTACGTAAGATATATGTAGCATGTGTCCAAAATGCATTTTTTTGGAGAGGTTTTTGCTATAGGGTGTGTGCACTCTCCAGAATGACAGAGAGAAACAAATAGAAAACGAGAAATCACCCCCCAGGGGGGATAGCCATGCCACAATCTCTTCTCCTCCATTTTTCTCTCAAAATCTTGGGCGTGCACGCACATGTGCTTGCCGTGAGCTTAAGCGACCAGGTCCGAGACTTGAACCACGATCGACTACATGGGAGTCCCACGACGTAGCCATTAAGCCAACTACTGGTCCCCAAAATGCATTTTGAGCAGAAGAATGATCCCACAGACCACCTACCGGGACTTCTATTGTGAAGCGGAGACACAGGAGGTTGGCGCCTGCTAGTGCTCTTACCAGGGCTAATGCAGCGCCCCTTTGGGTGAGTCTTTCACTTGTGAGAAGGGCAAGGTGTGAGCTGTCCTTTGTGATCAGATTAAATGCTACAGGTTTATTCATTGATTTATTCCTTCATTAAGTAGACAGATACATATGTAGTGCTGTTGCAGGCATTTTGTGTGTAATAAATGAAACAAGTCTCAAATCTCATGAGATTCATACTCTATTAAAAGATTATGACACTGACAAGTTAAAGATTTGGAAAAATAAAATATTCTAGATAATGTTAAGTGTTCTGACAAAAATTTAATGGGATACTATAATAGGTAAAAACAGGTGCCTGTGATTGGAGGAAAGGAAGCTTGAATTTGTCGAGCAAAAGTAGAAACTACATATTTTCTTTCCCTCAAAACGAATGTTTTCTCTTTGGCGTGTGTGTGTGTACAGAGAAGCCCCATGTGCACACACGGACGTACACATATGGAGAGACTGACTGGTTACTTCCCAAAAGTAATATGGACATTGCCGCCTTGATTCGTATATAAATATACTACTGTCATTGGATATAAGTGTACACATAAATTTAGAGGATTATAAGAAAATCGCCTCTGTTATATCAATTAGCATACCAAACATTTTTACAGTCTAAGTAGTTTTTAAGTTTTTTTTTCTTTTTTTGGAGAGGTTTTTGCTATAGGGCACGTGCGCTTGCCAGATAGAGAGAGACATAGAGACAGAAAGCGAGAAATTACCCCCCAGGGGGGATGGCCATGCCGCAATCCCTTCTCCTCCATTCTCCTCTCCATTCTCCTCTCGGGATCTTGGGGCACACACGCACATGCGCCCTGTGTGAGTTTAAGCCACCGGGTCTGGAACTTCTCCAACCGCTGACTACATGGGAGTCCAGCGACATAGCCATCATGCTAACTGCTGGTCCCAGTAGTTTTTAAGTTTTAATGGAGCATTTTCTGATGAAGTCATGATTTGTTTCACTGAAAATTTTATCAGTGCCCTTGCCGTGCCTATAGGTTTCTTTATTTAAGGCGTATGTTTTTCCATTTGGGAGCAGAGAAGGCCCCTTGGCTAGGACAGTCCAAGAGGCAACCCAGCTGAGGACGGGCCCCACAGTCGGGTCGGTGCGTGCCAGGACTGTGGAGGAACGTGGAGGCCAGAGGAGGAACACGGAGGCCAGAGGCCAAAACGCTGTCGGTGGGGGGCTGTGCACGTACAGATGTTTGCGTTCTTTCTTTGAAAACTGCTGATTCAGTCCATACAACTACTAGGACAAATTTTAAGCAACATAATTATGTTTTCTTCTGAAGAGAAAAATTTCTTTACAATTAGTTAAATAAATTAGAAGTTTATTTGTACAAACTGCATAAAAGTTTTTTTTCTGACTTAAATAGTCCTCACCATAAGTAAAAGCCTGTTTTTCAAAAAACGTAATTTAGTTAAACAAATTACATTCCTAGTTTTGTTAAACTAGATAACCCAGCCTTCCTTTGAAGGTGAGCGCTGCTTGTGCTTCAAGTACATTTAGGTGGTTGGGAGTTTCTGAAAACAGACTGGTTTTCTGCAATAGCATCATGCCAAATCTTCATAAATATATTAATATTGGTAAAAGTTTCAAATTGCCGTAGCTAGTTATTACACATTTAAAAAAACATTTCCTTTCTTCTAACCTTTTAATATGTGGCATAAACTTTGATTTACATTTGGCTTTCTATGTGTCAAAATAACATACTTTAAAGAGCAAAAGATTTTGAATTAAAAAACCAGGCTGACTCACTTGCTAACTCTATAAACTGTCCTCAATTATCTTAACCATGAAAGTAGAAATGGAAAATTATTGACTATAACATGCATGATTAATTAAGCCACTATGCAGTATATTCTGTATGGGAAATCACATTTTGTATTCTGTAGTGATGCTTAGGGAATGAATGTAAATTAATTTAAAAAATGTTTCAGAAAATAAATTAAAAAAATTAAAAACAAACATGGTCATAACGAGTATCTTAGAAACTCATTTTAATAGAAATATGCAAACTGGTAATTAAAAAGGTATATGTTTTAAAGGAGACTTCTTCATTGATCATGTGATTCAGTAGATATTCCCTTATGAACCTTAAAATTAACAAAATGATCAAATTTTGTATTTTTAAAATTACTTCCTACATTTATGAATTGCAACTTAATCACTCTGGACAAGTGAATTTGTCCTTCCAGATAGCTTAATAGAAATGTTTTTAAAAAACTTGAAGTCATAATTTTAACTATTTTTTCCAAGTGGAATAATTAAACAAATTTTAACAAACATGAATGTCATAAGCCATCTCTCGGATTCATTGCTTTTCCCTACTCATGGTAGAAAGTGTTACTAAGTGAACTGCATTTTCCTTAACAGGATACAAATACACACCAGGAGGCTCTCATGTAATGATGTGAAAGACGATTCTTGCTAGTCAATTAACAATAAAACTTTATTGACTAAAACTTTAATTAAATTACTCATGGAATCACTTACATATCCACCTAGTCACTCTTTATTAAGTTGTTTAAGGAATTATGATTGAGTATCTAACCTTTCTCAGTTCATAATCAAGAGACAGAACAGTATGCGAGAGATTTCAGCCTGGTATTTAACATGGTATTTGACAATGAGATTTCACACGTGGTGAAAGTTTAAAAATCCCTTTGGTAGCTATGATACCCTATTTTATATATTGTATATTACATTTTTATGTCTTTATCTTTCTCAAGTTTTAATTTTTCTTTGCAGTCATAGATACCTGAGACTTAACTGCAACCTAATTATAGCACTCAGGAATTTGTGATCAATGTGTTTTTCTGTGCTGCTAAGATTTCAATTGATAATTGCTGTGAAAACTATATCTTTTTTTTTGGATGCTCTCAGGTCCCAGATGCTGAGGGGAATGATGGCAGCATGTGGCCCATGGGTCACTGCTTGCTCCAGCTCACAGCCAAGATGACATACTCCTTCCCAATGAATAAACTGTTAGATTTTATGAAATAGAGTCATTTTTCACTGAAATGGTAAAGTAAATGTGGTATTTCAGCACCTGTAGACAGGTTTTGTTTTTTAACTGTGATTCGCTTTGTCTTCCCAAATAACACAGAAAGTTGTCCTGAAGGAGTGAGAGGGAAGCACCAGAGGGGCTGCTGAAGCCGGCATCATCGGCCTCCTTTCCATACCTTGGGTAGAAGGTCAGTTCCTTTAGTGGCATTTTCTGCTGTGCAAGGCGAGCAAGCACAGTGTCCCATTTCTCAAAGTATGGTTGCAAGCATCACAGCTGCTTCATTTAAAGCCTCAGGAGAACTCTCTAGTCTAACTGTGGCCATCAGGTTCATGTTCATAGCAGAGCGGACCAGTTACCTGTCATGTCAAGCAAGTCCCTCAGGAAAACAGCCCTCAACTTCTACACGAGCCCTG